ACTAAATTAACGCGAATGAAACCGTGGGTTATCCACTTGTAAAAAAATACTAATGAGATTTATGTAATTGTGATTTTTCACTGACAATAGTGGATAAATTTTACTTGTACCAATTATTAAAAGAGATTTAAGTTGCCCATTGGTTAACTTAGATCTGTACACATTCTTTGCGTACTTCATTTTGGAGAATCAAGCGAATTTAGTAAGCGTATCCTTGCTCAGAGCGCGTTCTCGGCGACTAGTCTAGAAATTATAGATAATGGCAGAAAAATTAAAACGGTTTTGGCCCTTGGTACTTACTGGAATAAACAATATGGCCCGAAGGCTGGAAAGTTTGGAGACCCCTGCTATAGACGAAAGAAAAAATATTTTTAATGTAAAAGGCAGCTTGTTTTAAATGTCTCGAAATTAAAAAAACATATTTCTCGATTTTGTAAGAGCAATGTAATTTGTTCCCACTGTTCAGGAAAACATTCTTCTATAATGTGTTTTTCAAAATATAAACAGAAACAAAATAATAAAAATGATGAATCTTCAGAAAGTACTGTTCTTAATCAGTCATCTTTGAACGAAGTTTATTTGCAAACATTAACAGTTCAAATTAAGAATGAAAACTTAAAACATTATATTCGTATAATTAATGATTCCGAATCTCAAAGAAGTTATATATCAAAATTTGCTGCTGAAAATATGGGTTTGATATACAAAAAAAAGGAATTGGTGACTCATGGACTATTCAGAGGAACAGAAATTGCTGAAAGCCATAACCGTTATTTGATACAATTAAGTAGTTTGGATAAAATAAATTATATTAAAGTAGATGTAATGAATCAAAATAAAATTTGTGCATCAATTCCAAAAATTAGAAGTTAATATTAGAATATTAGAAATTATCTAAAAATTAGAAGTTCAGACTGTATAAATGATTTAAAAGATAAAAGAAGCTTTCGCTTAAAAGACATTTCGCTTAAAAGCAAAATTTGTTTACATGAACAAAATGCTAATGAAATTCATGTTCTACTGGGGGCAGATGTAGAAGGAAAATTATTTACAGAAAAAGTAGATCATCTTCCTTGTGCGTTAGTAGCTGTTCAGACATTTCTGGGGTGAACATAGTGGGAAAAATTTCTTACATTAAATTAGACAATTCTCTTCTTGTTCTATCGTTATACATAAATGATGCTAAAATTACGGACTTATGGAACTTAGATTCGTTGGGTATATTAGTTCCTAGCGAAAAGCAATCGAAAGAAGAAATGCAGAAATTAGTTTGAAAACATCTCGAATCGACAGTTAGCAGAGAAAATGAAGGAAGATATATAGCATCTCTCCTTGGATAGATAGATGTCCTCCAATGTTCAACAATAAATATTTGACTCAGAAACGTTTAAAAAATATGATTAAAAATTTGAAGGGGAACAACCTTTTGGTAGAGTATGAACAAGTGCTTAAAGATTGGGAAGAAGAAGGTGTTATCGAAGAAATAGTACCTGATCCAAATTTCTATGAAGTCTCAAGTGTACATGTGCCTCAAGTGTTTACCTCATCGAGCTGTCGTAAAAGATAATTCTACGACCAAAATAAGACCAATTTTTGATGGTTCAGCTTGTGTTAATAATTCTGTTTCCTTGAATGATTGTATTGAAATAGGACCCAATATCATCGAACTGTTTCCAGCTATTTTGAATCGATTTAGGTTTGGTAGCATTGGTGTCACTGCTGATATTCGTTGAGCAATTTTACAAATATCTTTACATGAAAAGGACAAAGACTATTTACGATTCTTATGGTGGAAAGAAGGTGATCCTGAAAATGTGATTATTTATAGACATTGTACAGTTATTTTTGGCATTAATTGCAGTCCTTTATTGTTATTTGCAACTCTCAACCAACATTTGAATGAAATAACTAAAGAATTTAAAGGCATAGCTGAAAAGCTACAAGAATTTTTGTATGTGGGCAACTGCATGGCAAGTGTTAATTCAGAAGAATTGAAAAAATTTGCAATGAATCACAGAAATTATTGCAATTAGCTAAATTTGATCTACGTGGCTGGAAACATAGTAAATTTAAAGAAAATGTATTGAATCAAAAAGAACACGAAGAAACAAATAAAGATGAAGTATAAGTTCCTTTGTTAGGATTATCATGGAAATTTGTACCTGGTCATCAAAATCCAGCTGGCCTTGTCGAGGTTGCAATGTCGAACAGTTAGTGAAATCTCAACAATGGGAAGGATCTAGTTGCCTCCATCAATCTTCTGAAAAATGGACTATTTCTAAAGTGTTTTCTGATTTAGAAGTTCGACAGGATGAAAAGTGTGTCTTGCAGAGTAGGACTCCACTATCTGACTCCTTCAGCAACAACAAGAGTCACGACAACGATGATTTCGCATCACATCCACTGACTGTCATCGTATCTAGCGATAGAACTTAAGATTTTGAGTTTCATTATACTATTGAAACTCAAAGGTGGGAGGTCTAGAACTTTTTGAACTATTTACCATTTGAACTCTTTACCACTTTTGAATTGTAACTGTACTTCAGTGTAAGAACTTTTCTCCGCTCTTCATTGTTGATAGTCACCCATGGTAGACACTGGTTTTTTTGTGTCCTCAATTTCTATTATTATTTTTATGTATCTATATTGTCATTGTAATGTGTCCAGTAAAAGTATTAAGGAAATATTTGAAATAACTGACCACATCCGACGTTTTGGATATCTCATCTACGATTCGTTTCTAAGGAAATGTTGTATGCATTTACCGATTCTAAACGAGCCGACGTACATTTGATACGTAACCATAATGCTCTTTGGATTTGTCGAGCTTGAATTTCTACTTTTGGAAAATGCTTTTATCCCTTGGGTACGAAACTTTTGTTAAATATTTCGTTGTAAGATTTTCTATTCAAGCTTTAATTCTTCAGAAAATGAATGATATCTTTAAAAGTACATATTGATTCCTGCATGACCGACTAAACTCTGTCAAATGCACTTTTTAACGATATTTTTCTCCCAATAAAATTTACCAAAACTAAAATTTTTTTTATTTCATGTAGCCTAGCAACACCTGGCCATATTTGCTAGTAAATAATAAAATTTCGTCGCATGCCAATATATCTTTTCTTTTACTACACAAAATCATGTTAGCACATCGAATTAGTTTTAGACTTAATTTCAGACGTAGACTTTAAAATGAGAGCTCTTTGCTTTTATGATATAATTGAAGGCAAAACCTCAGCGAAATCTTACATTTTATTAGTATTATTGAGTTTTATTTAATGCTGTGTTTTGATAATAATGGGTTTCACTTGATTCATCCTAGATTTCAAATGGTTCATCCATTTAGACGCTATTTTGAGACACGAAAAGTTTTCTGCGTCTGAATATTGTATAAAATGTATATTTCAATTTCGAAGTTATGATTTATTAACCCAATAAACCCATTAATTAATACGGAAGTTATCATAAATTCGTACAAGTGAATGCAAATGGTTTAATTCTTATACCAACACACTTTTGATGTAAGGAATGCCGTCCTGGGGATTAAACTGCATTTCTACTCACTTCATAAAATATTAGCCTTCTCTTTTCGTAAAATCCCGTTGTCTTTGCTGAATCAAGTGCTTCTGTGAATTATGCTAATAATAAAACTGTGATGAATGGTGTCACATTCTGAAATTCTGGTTTTAATTTTAAGATTCTGGAAAATAATCCAAATAAAATTTTGTACTATGAAGACAGAAGTGGGTGAAGAAATCTTGCCTGCAAATATTTTTTATAATATAATTTCAAGATGCTGAGGAGAAATTATGATGTGGAGAGATCTTGCGTCACAGCATCATTTCACACCATCTCTCACAGCATCATCATCGAGAATGCCTATTAAAGATTTTTTTTCCAATATAATGCCAAGATGATATGGAGAGTTCTTGCCTGCAAACATTTTTTATAATACAATTCCAAGATGCTGTGGAGAAATCTTGCCTGCAAACTGATGTGGAGAAGTAAGCCTGCAAGACGCTGTGGAGAGATCTTGCCAGCAAAGAGTTTTTATAATATAATTCCAAGATGCTTAAATATACCTAAGTTTGAAACCATCTCAATATAACACTGAGGGCGAAATATCTTGTTATTTTTATGGAGATCACGATTTCTTTTACATTTTGAGATTTGGTTTAATTTAGTTTGTCGCTCTACGGCTATCTTGTGCACACGAGGACTAAACAGACCGGGACCACTCACAAGCAGTCATGCCACAGCCGCAATTCTAACCTGAAGCCTGCTGTACCAAAGACCAGAGCGCTAGCCAGTTGGCCACCAGGCCGCTACGTTTTGAGGAATCTAGTCAGTGCAGATAACTTCAAAGATAAACTTCTAGTCTTTCTGAAAATATAAAATGCTTGATACACTACATTTAGATAAATAACAACGATGTAAATAATGTAAGTATATTGAAATTCATTTAAGTAGCTTTTCCGAATACTGAGCATTTAAACCTAAATCATTCCCCTATTAAAAGACTAAGATACAGCTTATTTATTTAGCAGAATACACTACAAAGATCTTGCTATACCGCAACCCTCATTGTGTTAAAACATTTGAATGAACGTTCTCATCTGGAAGTGCCATCTTCTCTGAGTCCAATATATAGGCATTCCAGCTTACAGATTTAACGTGTTCATCCTCGGCATGCATATGGAAACTTACGTTTCGGCATCGCTTGTTGAGGTTCAATCCAAGCACCTTTAGTTTGGACTCCACACTCGTTGGGCCCTACACGTAATAGCTAGTCCAAAGGTGTAAAAGTACCCAGTTACGCCCCAACTTTGGAAACCTACCTGGAGGGAAGAGCAGAGACGTCGAACCCATTGCTCAGCTACGTTTTTGTCATCACTCCCTGTGAAGAGCAGGAAATGGCGGTTAAAACCCTGATCATCGCTCTGATATAACCTCTTGTACTCATAATTACTCTCGCTTGGCTGTCGCTGTCTTTTTTGGGGGGTATAGCTCAGTGGTAGAGCATTCGACTGCAGATCGAGAGGTCCCCGGTCCCCTCGGGTGCCCCCTTCGCTTACTTTTATCTGATACTTTGTAGCACAGGTATCGGGTTCGAATCCCGGCTGTGCCATGAATGTTTGTAGTGGTTCGGAATCCACTTCAAATCGTAGGTCCCGGTCCTAGTAGGATCGTAGAGTGTTGTGGGGATTGTGTTACTCGCGTCCGTAGCATACCTTCAAGCTACACGTGCCCCCTGGGTAGTGCTAAATGAGTAACAGCGGTGCAGCCCTTGCTTATGGCATAAAGATTAACTGTCTGGATCGCTAGCTGCATTAGAACAACAACATATATTTTCCCTAATTGAACCGAATTGAAACTATAATTCTTTTATTTTTTAATTTTTATTTTGTATTTTACTTTTATTTATTTTTAATGTTTTTAAATTTTTTTTGTTCGTACCATTTATTTAATTTAGAAACTTGTAATCTTGTCATATTTTCATTACTAAATTAAAGCAACCAATTATAATCGTAAATTTTATCTATGAATTAAGATGAAGAGGTTATATCCTCAATGGTACTCCGTAATCGGTACGCCAGTTGCCCTGTGAAGAGGTCTCCCGGATCAAGTGGTAGCAACAAATTCCTGGGAGGTCTACTCCGCCATACACAACTAACATTACAGAGCTACCCAGAGTAATGAGCGTCCCCAAGGGAAAAAAGCCCTATCATACAATAATTTTTCAAAAGAAATGTCTCATTTTTTTTTGAAACTTTAAATAAATGAAAAATTAGTGTTTCTAAATTTGTGTTTTTTGCTATGTCAACAAATTTAATCTATTACTTAACAAATTTTACCTATCGATATTTTGCATGTTGGGAAATTCTGTTTACTACGCGGGCCTGAGCGCTCGGTACCACAGGTTTCGGGTTCGAGTTCCGGCGGTGCCATGGACGTTTGTAGTGCTTCGGAATACACTTTAAACCGTAGGTCCCGGTCCATAATAGGATCATAGAGCGTTGCGGGGGCATTGTTACTCCGCGTCCGTGGCTTATCTTCAAGTTACACGCGCCCCCTGGGTAATGCAAAGTGAGTACGTCTGTGCAGCGCTTTCCAGCTGCATTAGAACAAAAAAAAAAAAAAAAAAAAAAAATGTTTACTACGTTAATTGTTTTTGTCGTCGTATCCCCTGAAGAGTACAATGAAGTCAAATATCGTGGTGCTTCCGAATAACATTGGCTATGTTGGTTGCCAACTCGGATTATAAATCCTCTTCCGAGGGATGGTCCAGACCAGGGATGGACAACCTTTTTCGGTCGCGGGCCGAAAGTCGAAGAAAAAAAAAAGTTGACGGGCCAAAATAAATTTTTCTAAAATTTAAAAAACAATATACAAGTATTACAATTTAAATATGCTAGTGACATGAATGAAATTGCGATTTCATTTTTAAAAGTTCCTCATATTGAGATGTACTAATTCTAAGGTACGAGGTTAAATGATCATCCGTCAGTCTACATCTGAAATAATTTTTTCTAAGGTTCATAATTGAAAACACTTGTTCACATATATAACTGGAAAAAAACATAGCACTGATTAAATTTGGGAAACTTAATTTTGATAATGATTTGTAAAACTATAAATTTGTCAAATCCCCGAGAAAGAGATAACGCTTGTTGGCGTCAATCTACAACTATAACTAACGAAGAACTTTGCTTTTAACACTTTACCGATTGAAAGCTGTCTGTGCTTGCTATTTCTGTCGATTTATGTTTTGTAGAACAAAAATAGCGAAATTAAAAAGATCATCAGTCCTTTGAAAAAAAAAGGAAGAAAAAAAATAATATTTAATCAAAGTAGAGAAGGAGATGGATATATTTCTTTTAATTTGCCTCGGGCCGGCAAATTAAAATTCTATCCGCGGACAGGATTGAAACTTCCGGCGGGCCGGAGATGACCCGCGGGCCGTAGTTTGCCCATCTCTGGTCCAGAAAATGCAGGGCAGCTGCAACAGCTGAGCAATCAAAGTGATGATGACGAGTAAGCTAGATATCAGGGCAGATGCCACATTTTCGGGTTTTTTAAAAGCCATTAGCAGAAATTTTCATATTTTTGTGGTGCTTCATCAGTCTTGCAAGAGTAGTAGCTGCTTTTCTGTCAACATTTAGTTCTGTAATTTAATATTTAGTTTTGATCTTAGAAGGAATCATAAGTTTATATTTTACCTACAAGGCATTTGCATCTGCAAGGGAAGTAGAAATGGCAGTTCTGATCGAGACTTGTGGCATTCTTCGCCAAAGAATCTGCAATTTCATTAAATTCCAAATCCACATGAGCAGGGATCCATTGTAGGATACACATTCTGTGCAAGCAGTGGATTTGTTCAAAAAAAAAGATATAATGTTCACGTTCATAATGTGTTAACATATGTAGTTCATACTTGAGAAACCTTTATTAAGAGCGTGTAAAGCAAACTTTGAGTTAGTGAAGATAGTAATTCCATTCATTTGTTGTGACGGAGGTAGACTCAGATAGTCCTCAAGTGCCTTTTGAATGGCCAGCAGTTCTCCTGCGAATTTTGATGCAAACACCGGCAGCAATTTCAATTCTTTTCCCATCGGGGAGCAACAAAACAGCTCCGGCACCTCCGTTACAAAACGTTCAGTCGGATTATCAGTTCAGTATAATCAGTATAGTTTTACCTATACTTTTTTATCAGTATAGTTTTACCTTTTATACTTTTTTTAAGCTATAAAAAACACGCTTTTAGAGTTAATCAAACTAAAAAGTAAAAAATAATTGTTAACATAAGAATAAAATGACTGGCGAGAAAAGGAATGTTGCTGTTCTAAAAGCGTAGGGTGCTCGATATCAATCGTTATAATTTTTCATTAGTTTCATTCCGAAATGCAGAGTTAGTTTAAAAATGTCATACAAAGCACCCCACGCTTTATTATTATTAAGCACCCCAACAATTATTATTTACTTTTTAGTGTGATCAACTCTAAAAGCGTGTTTTTTAGTTTTTTTAAGCTATAATTTATTTAGTGTTTTTAAACTATTAATTAATTTTTTACTTTTTAGTTTGATTAACTCTAAAAGCGCGTTTTTTAGTGTTTTTAAACTATAATATTTAAATGACGTCCCGGTACGGAGGACTGGAACTATAATTCTTACAATAATTTAATTGTGAGTAAAACAAACGTTAAATGCGAATAGGTCGAGCCAGCCAGGATTCGAACAGGAAATCTCCTAATCCGCTGTCAGGCGCGTTATCCGTTGTGCCACTGTAGGTTCGAATGTCTTAGGTACTTTCATTCTACATGGGTTAAATTGCTCTTCATAAGTTAAAATAAAATCACTAATCCTGGCGATCGTAATCATGATGAGATAATAAACTTATCAAAATATTTTATTGTCGTCGGTCCTTGATAAGTTTACAACGTTTAAATTAAATCTGATCGCTTAAGTAGGGCAAATTCGAGTCCAAAGAGTCAGTTGCAAACAAACATACAGGTGAAACTAATAAAAGCGTATTAATAATCAGTATAGTTTTCTGTCGTCAGTATAGGCAGTGATGTGATTCTGCGATGAAAGGGAATTTATTGTTTTGATCCCTAATTCCTTTAGTTTCCCCTTTGGGTCTCTATTGCAGCAGCATTCAATCAGATCGCTATATAATTATTGTTGCATATTAATATATGTATATAACTTTTGAAATGTAATTTACTATTGTTTTATTTTTGTAAGGTAGAATTTGTTATAATATATTTTTGATTAATAATATGTAATAATCACAACAAATTTTTAACTTGCTTTTTGAGGAATTATTTGTGGCAAAGAAACTCTAACTCTAGTACGAAAAGGACGTGAGATATTGGCTTCAACATTCCGTTCTTTCCAAATAGGTGAGAACTCTCTATTTTATTAATACTTTATGGTTTCAACATTCTTTGAAAGAAAAACATGTACATGTACAATAACATCTACAAATTTAGTACTCTAATTTCGAAGTTGGTTTAGTATCACAGGTGCCAGTAAATTTAGAAGAAATTTTCTTTTTCCAATAAAGTTAATTAGATGCAAATGATTTTCCTTAAGCTGATTAGGGATCCGTAAATCGAGTTTCTTGATATATTCAAACTGTTTTAATTTTTTTCCGAATGTATGCATACGATACATTGAGATTTTCTGCAATCTCACATCTTGTGCTATGAATCGATAATGGCTGTGATATGGGTCTCATCCAAGGCCGGATTTTCCTATAGGCTAACTAGGCTTCAGCCTAGGGCCTCAAGATCAAGAGGGGCCTACATTCAAATTGTTAGCAAAATTAGAATTACACTATTCTAAAAACAGTAAACATTAAAACACTGAATCGAAAATAAGGAGAAATTATACACATATGACGAATAAACAAACATAAAAATGTATTGGTTAAGATCAACGCGTTCGGCTCATTGGGTCTGTTCGTTTGGTTATACTAGATTGCACCAAAGTACAGTTCATACGTTCACTGATTGCTATGGCAAATATTGATGTGCCTTATGCTATTAAGCTCTGGTTTGTTCTTGCATAAATAAAGTGCAGATTGGTACAGACCTATTGACATCCGGATGTTCGGTTATATTCGTATTACTTCGATAATATGAAATACGTGTTAATGTTATTAGAAAAGATTCTTATTTTAGGATTGCGTACACGATCATTTGATTTGCTTGTACTATATATGGTGATGAGAATAAATCTCCAAATAAGTGTTGTCGACTTTTTTTAAATTTATTATCCGTGTCACATTTTTTATGAAGATTAGTACCAATCACAACATGTTTCATTTAACATAGTGATATATATCACAGTAATGATGTATTTTATTATCTCTCATGTAATTTACAAACTTAAAAATGGGAGGTGAAAGGGCCTCATAAGCGGAATAAAATAGGGCCTCTTTTCATCTAAATCCAGCCCTGGTCTCATCACTATAGAAATTCAGCTTTACCTCTTAATCTCAAAATTCTAATATATCTCTCTTATCTTCGTTCAGTATTAGCTTATGCAAGCCCAATTTGGGT